TTTAAAAAAAAAAAAAAATTGTAGCAGATTTAGCATTCAGTTAAATAAAATGCATCAGACAGTATGACTGTTAGATGCTACTGTACTCTTATTGCTATCCAGAAGAAAGGAGGTGATTGTTCCTCTCTCCTCTGTGCTGGAGTCACATTGATTTTGTCCTCTGAGGGATCTCAGTGTTTCTATTGGCCAATTGCCCGAATTGGGAAGGAACTCAAAACCATACTGAAAAGAACTGTGGGTGTTTAGCATAGAGAAGCCACAGGATGGACATGACAGCCAACTTTTCATTAATTGGAAGGTTGTCCTACAGAAATGGAATTATAGTTCCAGAAGATACTATTGGGTTTCAGTAGGCTGAAGCTCCAGGAAGGTAGATATTTGACTCAATATCTAATAATATAAGATGTTCACCCTGGGACTCAGATGATGGTGAGTTTCTTTTCTCAGAGACAATCAAGCATAGGGTGTACAGCATCTTGTTAGTGACTCAGGTCTCAGGATGGCAGTTGGTCTGGATGATCTACAGTGTTCGGCAATCAAAGACTCTGAGCCTCAGAGCTGTTCTGGAAATCTGAGGGCTCCAGAAGGGGTTGTTGCAATGTCATCTTGGTTATATTTTGATCTTGAGGCTAATCAGACCACTCATAAGCTCTCTTTTGCCCTAACTCAACTCATCTTGCCCCTCCTATTCTCGCTGGGGAGGCTGGGAAGAATCAAATTTAAAGTGTTTGTGGAAAGGGACACCTGGGTGGCTCAGTTGGTTGAGCATCTGACTCTTGGTTTCAGCTCAGGTCATGATCTCAGGGTCGTGAGATTGAGCACCGCATTAGGCTCTGTGCTCAGGGCAGAGTCTGCCGAAGATATCTCCCTCACCCTACCCACTCTGCTTGTGCTCTCTCTTTCTCTAAAATAAATAAATGAAATCTTAAAAAAAAAAAAAAAAGTATTTGTGGAAGGGCAAGGATTAATATCGGCCCTCATGTATAGAATGGAAGTGTTCTACATTGAATTTTAAAATTATTGTTTTTATAAAGAATATGGTAGGGAAGAGTTTTATTGGAAAAAATAAGATGTTAGGAGGTTTTATAAATCAATAGTGTTGCTCAAGAGAGTAAATGCTATTCTCTCTTCTGCAGTAACCACATTTAAATATCATGAGATATTCTTAATAAAATCTGGCATGTTTTTAAAACATGTGGTGGTATTATTTTACATATGTAATGCAAAAAGAAAGAATAAGAGAATAAAGGGAGCTTTTTTCAGTTGTTGGTAGAAGCTAGGGCTGTAAAATTGACATGGCACTGGTCAGCTAAAGGTAAAGATCTCAGACACCAAGTGGACTGCCTTCGAAAGGATAATCTGAAAGTTTTGTGTTTTTTTTTTAAGATTTTATTTATTTATTTGACAGAGCGAGACCCAGCGAGACAGCGAACACAAGCAGGGGGAGTGGGAGAGGGAGAAGCAGGCCTCCCGCCGAGCAGGGATCCCGTTGTGGGGCTTGATCCCAGGCCCCCGGGATCATGACCTGAGCCGAAGGCAGATGCTTAACAACTGAGCCACCCAGGCACTCTTAATCTCAAAGTTTTAATCAGAAACTTTTACCAGAACTGACAGGTACTAAAGACTCTAGAATGGAGTTTAAAAAGTCTTTTGGATTTACAGAATTTCAATCCCTAAAAAAGTTATCCTAAAAACTGCGAAACTTTTGTCAGCGTCTCTGAGGCTACTGTTTCCAGCCCTAGTAAAGGCAGATGGCATCCTACCCCTAAAGCCGGCATCTTCTGCTCCCTATACACATCCCCAGGCCTTGACCAGACCTTTGTCTGTGGAGAAGGTATGAGAGCTTATTCTTTCTCTTTCCTCTTCTTATTCCAAATAACTTTAAAACTGTTGCTTTTACTGTTTGCCTAGGAATTTCCATTTGCTTTTTAACATATAAGTTACGTTGAAGGTGGGTCAGAAAATGGAAATGGTTGGTAAACTTGAGCTGGGTGTCAACAGTTGTTCTTAATTCACCTCAACATTCCCTACTTTAAGTATTTCCTGTTCTCACTCAAACCTTAATCTCACTCACCCTTAGTCTGTATAGGAAACTCATAGCACAAATGTGTCCCCTGGCAGAAACAGGTATATCTGACCTCTTATTCTACATCCCTGTTCTCCCATACCAGACAGATCAAAAGTGCTTCATTTCTCCAAATTCCATTGTTTCTCTCCTTTTTTAATCGTAGATTTCTCCAAATGCCTCATTTATAAAATATTTCCTGAGCTGCCATTTCATTAAAACAATGAGGCAAATAACTATGGAAATAAGAGTTCAGTATCTAGAGTCAAGAGTAATTTGTCAAGAAACTGCCCCCATCCACCCAAGAATCACCAACCTATAGTTTGAAATTTATGTCAAATATATTAACAGTTTATAGTTGTCTAAAGAGTACTCCATGGAAATAACAACTTTGATCATGGATTGCCTGATAAATGGACCAGGCTGTGTCAAAGTACTTTTTTCATACAGGACTCTAGACTTTAACCAAAACCTGTAATATCTGGATTAGCAAAGTAGTGCTTATGTAAGCTTAGCCTGAACATGAAAGCTTGGCCTGAATACCAAACATGAACTTTTGATAGAAAATAAGATGTTTTCATGCAGTCCATCTAAACTGAATTCTTTCTGCACTGAAAAAAATCTAAAGCTATTTTTCTTTTACATGTCACTAATAATAATGGATGGAAACAGTCCGTCAACAGCGTTTTTTTTTCATTTATCCATAGCTACAAACCTCTGCGGGAATCAAAAGATAAATGGCATAATCCTTGACCTTCAGGAATTTACAGTCTGGTTGGGAACCCCAATCTGACACATGCAGAGTAATAAAGTTGGAGGTTGTGTCCTGATAACTGCCATTGCAGCACATCAGAAATGGGTCCGCCTGGGGGTGGCTGCAGTGGTAAATAGGCTGCAGAAGACAGAGCGGCACAAAGAGAGAGGATTATATAAAAGTAGGAATTGTAGTTCCCTGCAAATAACGTTGTTTATAACTTTTACTACAGGAAAGTTTAAGTGTAATAACAAGGCTTAGTATAATAGCTGATACTTAGCTGTTGAGCACATATTATATTCTAGATATTGTATGAAGTAATTTATAAACATTTTCTGAGTTAATTTTCACTGTGGTCCTGTGACATAAATGTAACTATTCCCATTTTGTAGGTCAAAACGTAGGCTCAGCAAAGTTAGGTAATTTGCCCAAGAACATAACCAGTGAGTGGTGGAGCTGGGATTTGAACCCAAATCTGACAAAATCAGGCTTTTGGCCATTCTTCAGGACACTACATTTTCCACATTTTCACTGCTTATTGAAGTCCGATTATTTGTGGGTGCTGTATCTAAAAGTTAAGTTTCTTATTCGACTAATTTAGAAACAACCTAAGTATAATCCATTAAAATGAAAGTAAAGGACTGTTCCAAGTGCTCATATAGTTACCCCAGTTATTTTCATCTAAAAACTGGGGGCAGACAATATAGTAAATGATCATTATTCTTGATTCTGTTTGAAAACTATCCAAGCAGTGGCTTCAAAAGATCTTGAAAACACATGCAAAGCACCCATTGAATGTGTTTGTCACCATTTATTATGAAGTTGCCTTTGGCTAGAAATATGCTCTCTATCGTGTAATTGCTATCACCAGTTCCATTCGTTTAGCATTTACAGAACACTTTCTTCAGAAAATCAAAAGCTCCACAGATTACACATTACGCATTGAAATTTAGAGAGTTAAAGGCTTTTGCATCAGCAAATACCATATATTTGACACAGGCTTGGAAATGAACACTTGCCAGTTAGTTCAGAGACACTATTTGTTGCACAAATTATAAATACCAGATTGGATTTGGGGTATGTCCAACATCTTATATTCAATAAGATTTTGAGGACTAGGCTCATCTTTTCTTCTTCTGTCCCCCTTTTCTCTCATACCAAATACTGGATGCCAACCATTCATTCATATATACCTGTTAATTGATGCATGAATTGTATGTAATAATAAGCACAGAATGTCAGTGTTTGGAGGATGTGCCCATGAGTGACCCAAGGCCTCTTAGGAAAACCTGTAAAAGTTTAATACTCTGATCACCAGGAATAGGAAAGTTTCTTCAGGTGGAAAGGAACCAACCAAGAAGGAACAAGCAGGATTTATCTTGTGCTTTCATAGTTTATGGAAAAGGGCTTTGAAGTAAAACAGTATTTACTTATTTCTTAATTCATTCATCTGTTTTTTTAAGGCAGTAAGTAAAATAGCAATAAAGGTGATACATAAAAATTAATATATAAGAAACTAAAACTAGTGTTAGTTATCACAAGATCGTCTCCTTTCCTGACACCAAATTGATTATAGCTTAACCTTCCAGCTGTGGTTCCCACCTGTTCTTTAAATGAGAACTGTATGGTTAGGAATTATGAGAGGATGAACATTTCACCCCATATAATAACAATGAATAAATCACCTGGTAAGCTATTTTTCCAGTGAAGGGTAATAATTTGGTGTGATCATCATGTGGCAGATAAAGAAAAATAAAAACGCTGACTTTAGCTTTTAGCTAAAGATACAAGCGCTTGTAAAACAAAGAGCCAGAAGAAAGGAAAAGTAGGAAACCTGTGGCGTTCCTTGGCCTCCAGATTGTTTTCTGGATGAGTGTTTACCATTCTAAACCTGGTGGGAGAGTGGTTTCTTGTTTCTGGATCTGTGTCATGCAAGTCTGTGCCCAGCAAGCGGTGTGCTCTCTTCTAGGTGATGACCTCACTATTTACGGAGTTGTAATGCAACGGTGGAAGCCTTTTCAGCAAGATGTGCGCTGTGAAGTGGAGATAGTCCTGAAAGCCAATTATGTCCAAGTAAATAATGAGCAGTCTGCAGGGATCATCATGGATGAGGAGGTCCAAAAGGAATTTGAAGATTTTTGGGAGTCCTATAAGAGTGATCCCTTTGCAGGTTTGTGATTAAGGGTATAAAGCTGATACTTATTAATGGCATTTCATTAAGTAGTTAAATATGAGGTCTGTGATTAGGAGGAGCCTTACCTGCTGCAAAACTCAGTGGCTGAATTCAAAAAGTGGTAGCATCCGTCAGTACTTCTAGCCGCAGTTTCCTTTTGAAGAGCCCTTTTCTGATATAGTCTTTTCTATTTAGATCTTTGTGGAAAATCAAGGCTGGATTACAAGAAATTTTCCATTTCTATTATTTTAGACATCTCTTGTACTGCCAGTTTTCTCCCTTCTTTACCAATCAAATATACAATTCCTCCTTAACTAGACAAAACGCATCCTACTATGAAACCTCATCCTATGAAAGCCTTATTTCTTCTCTGATGTACCTTAGATAATAAAGACAACTGCACACTATTTTAGCTAAAGATTTTTAAATATGCAGTCAATATGAAAGAGATGATGAGAAAAAGATACAAAAAATAAGCTTTGTCATCACAGCAAAAACTTTTGACTATGGCACTAAGATATGTAGACTAAAACATCACAGCCTTTGGGTTCATAGGGTATTTTTTATTTAAAAATTCCGAAGGTATAAAACACCAGTTAAATCTTCAAATGTCTGTTTTCATTCTTCCTTGGAGGCATCTTCTGAGCAAAATAAACTGAAGCCAGTGATAGACTATTTCTAATAAACTTCATCTCAAGTCTCATACATACTGATTACTTTATTCTTAAATACTGAAGTGGGGTGCCTGGGTGGCGCAGTCGCTTAAGTGTCCAACTCTTGGTTTCGGCAGGTCGTGATCTTAGGGTCATGAGATCAAGTCCTGCATTGGGCTCTGCGCTCAGCACGGAGTCTGCTTGAGATTCTCTCTCCCTCTCCTTGTGCCCCTCCTGCTTATGAGGTGTCTCTCTCTCTCTCTAAAATAAACAAAAATCTTTAAAAAAAAAAAAAATCAAATAATGAACTGAACAGATACCAATTCACAAAATAAGGTTCCTGTTTGTCTATAGGTAGTTTGCTTTTATTTTGTGTGATGAATTTTTATTTTTTTGCTTCTGCATATAGCACATATGTGTAGTGGTTCCTGATCATTCTTTAATCTGTACAGAAGGAACTAAAGTTCTCTACATTGTGGCTTTATTAAGCAAGCCCTTTAAGAACCATATATATTTTTAAATGAATTTTTGTATTTAAAATTGTTTCTTAGGGTCAGGTCCTCACAAAAATCTGTTAACTCTTCTTTGGACCACAGTCATTTCTTATTAATTGCAGTGCCACAGCTCAGCTCTTCCTGTAACAGTAAAGGAAGGGCATCATACAGTGTCCTAACCAGACCATGAGAAGTGCTTTGTGCTGGCAATTAAAGAGTCTACTTTGTTTTAATTAGAAGGTTATGGGTGTACAACTCATTTACTGGATAAAAAGAAGTAAATATAATGACCTTGTAAGAAACATAAGAAGAAAAAGAAAATGAGGCAACATTTTTCTTTTTAGTCTGAATGGATTCTGCTTTTAGTTTCCCAAGTACACAGTACCAGTACACTGTACTGTACCAATTCAAAGTGTATGTGTGCTAGTTGGGGGAAATAAGGGAAGGGGTGGTGAAGGTGGGGAGCTGCATCCAGAAGGATGTCTTCATTTTGCTAGTCTAAAGCCAGAGATTACTTCCTCCTCAACTCTTGGAGGTTGATCTGCTTCATTAAGATCTGATACTGTGGGTACTGTCTAGAAGCTGAAGACTTTATTCCAGTCTATAGTAATGTCTGGGATCCTCTGACCCTGGTGCTTAGATGCTGAATAGAAACCCCAGATGTAGGGATGGGGTCTTTTGGGCCATCTGAACCCATTCTGGGATGACTGTTATCTTAGATGTAGGAAGTCCTCTTCATTGGGGTAACTGAGGGCCATGCCACAAGAGTAGGCTAATAGGCCATAGACACACTATTAACATGGTCTAGAATCAGAAATCTGGGAGGGAGATAGGGTTGGGGGAGTATTCACTCTAATGCATTCTCTTCCATGATCTAGCCGTAGGAGCATCTATTGTCATGATTCAAGGAACTTTAGACAACAAATTTAAGGGAATGGTTCTTCCCCTTTATTTTTCTCTTGTACTTCAGACCTGGCCTTTTATCTTTTGTGTTAAACATTGTGAGGAAATCTTGAGATCAGAAATAAGCACAAGTAATACAGGTAATATAATAGCTTAATACCTGTTCTGTGTGCTATACACTTATTAACTCCTTTGATCCTCAATAGTTCTACAAGATACCATTATCTTTCCATTTTACAGATAAGAAAATAGAGGCAGAGAGGTTAAGAAACTTGCCCAAGGTCAGACGGGTAGTAAGTAATAGCACTGGAATGTGAATCCAGGCCTCTGGCCCCGGAGCCTGCGCTCTTTACCACTGGGATTGTTTCCTGTAAGCACATCAGGCATGAGTCCACCTTTATTCAGCACAGCTGCATGGAAGTCTCCCCGGCCAGTTTGCCTACATCGAAACCTGCCTGTTGGGGCTAGTCCTTCCTTCTTTGTATGTGTAAGTCTGGTTAGAACTTACCTACCTGCTATGGTGTCTTATTTGCTTAGATCCTGAACCGTCTTCATCTTTTTTCCTCTGGGCTTTCTCCCTCAGGAAAGGAAGAGATTCTCTCTGGCACTTAATGAACTGCCTTCTAGGATTTACTAATTCTTTTTTCTAATTCCCATTTTACTAAAAGGTTTTCTTTCTTCACCATTTCTGCTATCCCAGGTCATATCACCCCACATTGCCATTGGATCAATTCTGATTCATTACAAAAAGTAGCCTTTGCGTATAAGGCCATAAATTCTGGAGGAAGCCCCTTTCCTCTCCCTTAATGCTTTGTCAGAAAAGCTTCTGGAACTGGAATAATCAGCTAAGTATTTACATGATTATTTTCCTCTTCAAAAGAACTACCTCTGAAACATGAGCACAAACATGAAGTCCTGAAACACGCAACAGTTGCCAGCATGTAAATAGAGTACCATCACAGTAGTGGATTCCACATAAGTTAAGACAAGCTCAGGACAGGCTTGTTAGGATGTCATAGGTTCTAAGAGCCCCTGCTGGTTAATTAGGCCAGTGATCGAATGAAATACCTACTTTATTTATATGTGGCATAGACAGATTCTCAGATTTGGTGTTTTGACATTTCTGAAAACAGAAACTCAAGACAGTGATATTCTCTTATTTAAATCACATGATTGGGGCGCCTGGGTGGCTCAGTTGGTTAAGCGTCTGCCTTCGGCTCAGGTCATGATCCCCTGGTCCTGGGGTCCTGGGATCGAGCCCTGCATCCAGCTCCCTGCTCAGGACGGAGCCTGCTTCTCCCCCTCTGCCTGCTGCTCCCCCTGCTTGTGCCACCCCCAACCCCGTCAAATAAATAAAAAAATCTTAAGGGGCGCCTGGGTGGCTCAGTTATTAAGTGTCTGCCTTCGGCTCAGGCCATGATCCCAGGGTCCTGGGATCGAGTCCCGCATCGGGCTCCCTGCTCGGCAGGAAGCCTGCTTCTCCCTCTTCCACTCCCCCTGCTTGTGTTCCTGCTCTCGCTGTGTCTCTCTGTCAAATAAATAAATAAAATCTTTAAAAAAAAAAAAAAATCTTAAAAAAAAAAAAGGGCACGAGATCAGGCTAAGCCTCTTGACTCTTCATTTCGGTTCAGGTCATGATCTCAGGGTCCTGGGATCAAGCCCCAAGTTGGGCTCCATGCTCAGCACAGAGTCTGCTTGAGATTCTCTCTCTCTCTCCCTCTACCCCTCCTGCTCATGCTCTAAAATAAATAAATAAAATCTTAAAAAACAACAACACATCAGGAGAATCCAAGACTTCCAGCTTGGATTGCTAGAATTATAGTTTATATTGATTTTTTTTAATACTCTGATACCCTGGTAACATTATTCTACATAAAACAGACTTTACCAAACTGTTCAGAGCAAATGCTGAACTGACTCACAGGGTAGATTATTTTACTTCTCTTATACCTCTGGAGAAGCTCCATGAACTACAAGTATCTCTTGTATTTACAGATTATTGGCTCCTGCAATCTGACTTACTGAGATCGAGCACCTTCATTTTATTTAGACAGTAGAGTAAAGTGCAGTGGTATTTTAAAGGGATAATGTTGGCTTAATGAGGGAATAAAGGAGATTCCTTTCTGTCCCTTGTAAAGTATGATAAATTTATGGAAACTTAGGTATAAAAATAAAAAACAAGGAATAAAAAGCAGACTTTTTCTATATGGCATTAATAAGAGAAGGTGTTTTAGGACCAAAACAGTTATTTACTCCTTTTTTCCTTTTAGGCATTTAGAAATGGTCCTCTTGATCATTTTAGATGACAGAGTATATCTCTAGGAAGTTAGGATAAGAAGGGAAATTTCAGATAGGATTTCTTGAAAACTGTCGGTAACATCTGATCTTTCTGCCTTTCCTAGGAAGGAATGAAATATTGGCCAGCTTGTGCCCTCAAGTTTTTGGGATGTATCTAGTAAAGCTTGCTGTGGCCATGGTGCTGGCTGGTGGGATTCAAAGGACTGATGCTACAGGAACACGGGTCAGAGGTTAGTACCTACTTAAAACTTTTTGAGAAATGTTAATACATACAAGGTGAGAAGCTAGAATTTTTCTTTACTGAATAAAAATGACTTGTCGAGCTTTATTTTCTAACCATAATCTTTTAAAGCTGACAGTTGCCTAATACTTAGTCCGGCATCTATATATCAAAAAGTAATTTCTAGAATTCCAAAGACTAAAAGAAATATTAAGTTTTTTGGTGAACATATATTTTTGCCCCAATCTGTAAGGGTGACACAAAATAAAACCTTTACCTTTTGATTACTATGTTTTTCATTGGATCCCCAGTCTGTCTTCAAGAGGAAAAGATTAGAAATAGTGCTTTTTAAGGTCTCCAAGTCAGCATCTCTCCATCTGTGACTGTTAGTGTGTTTTTCTCAGACTGCTGCTCTCAGTCATCTGCCTGCTGATTCCCCTTCTGCTGGTAGGTAAGCAGAAGTGCCATCTGCCATGAGGTGCTGCTGTAGGTCACACGTTCAAGCGAAGATAACTCTAAGTGTATAATTATGTTCAAATGGCAGAAAGCTCTTTTGCGGCTAACACGTTTAACTGACCTGAATCTGGCATAGCGTAGGTTTATTATGGCCCTTATATAGGCTGCCTGAGGGTCATAATAACCAAAGACTAAAAGGACATTGTTATAAACAAGACTGTTAATAAGATTTCTAAAACCATAGGGTATGGTATAGAATAGTAAGTATAATAAAGTTTATGTGTATTGTATGTTTTGATCACCTATTAATTGCAAGGCACTCTGCTAAATGTTGAGCTTAAGTAGGAGTTTCCTATTAATGTATTTAGGAAATACTTGAATATTACTGAATAAATTGATCAGTGAGATAATACATACCACAAGATACTCATATGTTCATTTGTTACATTTGAAAATAAGTACTTTAAGGTAGATATTTCATTAAATTACTAAAATTTTCATAAAATGAAAAGGTCATTTAACTATTACAATCATAAGTGATTTGATACTTATAAAGCACTTATAAAGCACTGAACACTTAAAAATACTTGAATAAAAATGGAATAAAATATCTGTATGGCTTGTATGGAAAGATGTAATCAAGTAGTTTGATATTTAAAAATAGATTAAGGGGCGCCTGGGTGGCTGAGTCAGTTAAGCGTCTGCCTTCGGCTCAGGTCATGATCCCGGGGTCCTGGGATAGAGCCCCGCATCGGGCTCCCTGCTCTGCGGGAAGCTTGCTTCTCCCTCTCCCACTCTCCCTGCTTGTGTTCCCTCTCTCACTGTGTCTCTCTCTGTCAAATAAATAAATAAAATCTTTAAAAAAAAAAATCTTTAATAAAATAAAAATAGATTAAATAAAATCAGAAACTTTATAAGCCAAAAATTTTTAAAATGTTAAACATATGCCTGAACATCTGGAAATAACACAAAGTTTATTAATTTAGATTTTAAATCACATTCAGAAATCACTTAAAGATTGTTATTTATGATGATAGTTAACTTTTCTGAGGATATCTAGTTAAGTCTGTCCTTCAATGACCTTAAGTATATAGCAAAAACATAAAATATAAATTCTGTTGGCATTCCAAGTAGACCATTTTCTTCCTGATTAATTATACTTATTCATAGGTCTTTTCATAGAAATTTAAAACTTTATTAACTATTTTAGGTGAATCTCATCTTTTATTGGTTGGGGATCCTGGCACAGGGAAATCTCAATTCCTCAAGTATGCAGCAAAGATTACACCACGCTCTGTGCTCACCACAGGAATTGGATCTACTAGTGCAGGTATTTTACATGACAATTTCAATTAATTGAACTTTACTACAGACACTAGCACAATGTTTTTCTGATGAAAAAGTACCTAACAGGATAAATTTCAAGCTAATTTTTGAGTTACTAGCAAAAATTGAAGAAAATATGTAGTGCTTTTGTAGCTCTAAGAAAGTATTTTAAAAGCTCCACTTTCACTTATTTTCCTAAAACTTATCCCATATATCTTTTTGCATCTTAGTTTTGAAAGATCCTATTTAATGTGGAAAAAGCATGCACCATCTGGCATTTTATGAAGACCTAGTAAACAATGTTGAGATAAATGGGAAAAAATCTCACTTTACCAAAGTAGATCAATGGCGTAGAGCTTGAGGCATTTTTGTGCTTATAGATCTCATGGCAACAGTAGCTCCTACTGAAAATTCTTAGGTAGAAAATATGTCTTAATATGTGGAAAGCATACTTTCATTGCATTGTGGAGCTTCATTCATACATTGTGATGATTCTTCAAGTACATTTAAAAGCCTTTGCAGATAGAATGTCAGGATTTGATTATAAAGTAACTTTAGGAAAATTTTTAGAAAACATGTCTTGATGCCATTTATATTTTACACTGTTTTGATTGGGGAAATATTTCTCCTGTACTTCTGTCTGTAATAGGCCTTTGGTTTCACCCATTTTACAAATGTTCTTTGCTATTTACTAAGGGAAGCCTGTGCTGAAATTTCTTATGAGAAACTTACACTATAAAACTTCTCACAAAGCAGCAAATGCTGCATTAATGGTCCTACATAAGGAAAGCCCCATTCTAAGAGGCTCTCAGATTTTGAAATTTCACTGAATAGTACATTAAGCATGGATGAGAAGGGATTTGTGAATGGAGAGGCGTAGACAAGGTTCAGCGTACTGGAAGGGTAGTAGGCAAGAATATATAAAGAACACTTTATGTGCATTTAAAAATTCTTATGACCCAGTATTCTAGAGTTCTGTATAAAATGATACCAGTAACAAACAAATAGAAGTGTTTGCCAAGTAATTATGTGGAATGTTTCCTAAGTTAATTATATGGAGGGCCAAGAAATGAGTCCAGGCCATCTGATGGGCTACTAGTTATTTCAGAATATTTGGACAGTTTTCAAGTGAATGGCTGCTGATTGACTACACTAGCACTTTTCCCTCTTTTTTTAATGTCAAGATCATAATCCAAATATAAGAGAAAAGACAGGTATGGGGAATATAAATTTCAGAATGATAGAAAAGTTATTGCTAAGTCTCATCTACTCAAAAGGCCAGACTAGCCTTTCTTCAAACTGGGTATCGCAACCCCTAAGAGTCATAAATGTCAGTTCAGGGGGTCAAAACCAGCACTTTAAAAATGAAATACAATAAAAGATACCAGAATGTACTGCACACAATAAAGATGCACTATATGGGTGCATTTTCATGAAAATTAACATAAATACTTGTGTTGCAGGGTCATACTTTTTTTTTTTTAAATCAGGGATTACAGTAAAAAGTTTTGAAAATTGCTGCCATAGACTTTCTTGGTAAAATCAGAAACCCCAAATCTTAAAACCAAACGATAAGACCACATGGAAGCCTAAAGTTATAAATGAACAAATGCATGCATGCTCCTCAGATTTCCTGAATGTTTTCTTAGCTCAACTGATACCTCATTCCCTCTAGCCTACTTGCTTCTCTCTCCTGTGGCATAAGTAATTGGTTCATGTTTATCTTTTCATGACAGAGCCATTTACTGTGATCAAAAAGGAGGAAAACTGCTCCAAACATTTTAGCTGTAATTCAGATAGTGTCTATAAATGAAGCGAAATGGGGAAAATAAAACCCCATGCTATAGCTTCTTAGTGCCTAATAGTTGAATTCTAAATCTTACAGCAGCATAAAAATTTAAGTAAGAGATGACTTAAAAACTAAGTCTCAACCTTTTGTGAAAATTAGCTGTTTACAAACTGATGTAAAAACCTAACCCTTGGTGTCAATACGAATCAATCATTATAATTAAAAACTCAGCAGTAAATTGCTTTATTTGGTAATTTGGCTTATATATGCTTTATTTCTAACAAGCACATATCTTGTTCTTGTTATATTAATCACTGAGCTCTTTGTTGGAAAATTTTACTTTTATTTTCATTTTAATATTTTAACATTTTCCTGTAATTGCAATTAGACAAAAATGAAATTTTCTTCATATAGTTTTAACAGTTGGATGTATTTTATTTTTAAAATCTATGAACTAGTTAGTGGACAGAATTTTAATAATCTGGTATATTAAATTTCAAAGTTTAACATTTAGCAAAATTTGCTTCACAAATTCTTTTTTAGAATGACAGGAAATATATACAACTTAGAATCCATATTCAGACAAATGCCCTTTACCCTTCCTCAAACTATAAGCTTTAAAAAGTGCAGTATAAAAGTTCTAGATATAAAGGCACTGCATAACTGCATCATATGGCTAATGTCTTGCTTAGCAGCAAGAGTAATGAGAGTGTTCTACACTTAATTTAATGAAGCATAAGAAACTTTGAGGAAGGACCTAGCTCTCATCAAAGAAAAAGAACACTTTGGCCCACTTAGTTAATGTATTCCTTTCCAAGATTGCTTTTAAAAAACTTATCTGGAAAGGCTATCTAAAATATGTCAACCACAAACATGCCTAATCTTACCCTGCATGAGTGTTAAGGAATATGGAGAAGAGTACCACATGTGTGAAAATATATATATTTCCAAAATAGTGACTTATCTATTATGATAAAGCTAAATACACCTTCTGAAATCCACTGTTTTTTGTTTTTTTTTTTAAATAAATGCTGCCAACAACAGATGATCTACCAAGTCAGTTTTGAAGAGTTAAGGTCATAGTATTTTTATAAATCTCATGAATAGATATAAGTCATTATAATATCCTATTCTTAAACTTAGCGAGTTTACATCTGCTCTTGACATGTTGAATTCACTGGGTAAAAATGATATATGATTCAAGGAGTATTCTGATGTCCTAAACTGTTATAAAACAAAAACCATAGCCAAAGGACCTTAAGAACAATTAACCACATTTGTTATCATCTTAGAAACCAAACTGAATGTTGTCTAAAATTCCATGTAATAGTAGCCATGCTAGTATGGTGGCCTAGAAAATCAGGTCCTAAAGTTTGTGGTAGCATATAGTTGACTTCAAATCCTTTCTTTAAGGACATGACAAAAAAGAATGGAAATTTGCCCCTCACATTAAACCAAACTATTTATCACAGGAAGAAACGTTTTAGTTGAAGTCGGAAGTTTGTTCTTCTGAAGGCCAGTAAAATAGTGGTCCAAAGATTATTGTCCAAAAGGCTAAGACAGCTTTACAACCTGGTCTTATGATTTATATTTTTCTTTATAAGTGCTTTAATTACATATAGAGAAGAAGAAAATAATATATATGTTTTAATCAGATTAGTTTCAGAACAAATAAAATAACACATTAGAGAAAAAAATTACTTAAAAATAGTTGTATTTATATTCCACAATTTGCTCAAATACTGGTTTTCTTATAAACTTTCTACAGGATGTTTTTAAACAAATTCTTCACATTGTGTCTATGTACTTACGGAATTTCGGGGAAATAGTTCTGTGTGTTTTTATAGCTTAATTTGTACTAAAGGGATGGCAGGTGGTCACATGCAGTCCATATGGGATTCTAACATGACATTTAGTGAGTTTTCTGACGTGGACCATCCCTTTGATGCTGAAGGTAATGCATCTGTTGAAAGAAGTGATTGTAGATTTGGATTACTGCTCTCTGCATCTTCCAGTTTTTCTGTGTTATCTTCCCAATTAATGTGGAATCTTGTAACTCTGGGATTAGATGCCAAAATGTTCCTTTGAAGCTAAAGGAAAAAGGAAATATATAAATAGACAGCATTAAGAAAGTTAGATACCATATACAAATAGCTTAATAAAATGGTTCTTTGTATCAGTACTCCTAAAGGGCTAAGTTCATTTACAAAGGCATAAAATTAAGTAAAGCAATTTAAACATAACTAATACACAAGGACTAGGGCTACAGCAGAAAAATTATTTTAGCATAATGGAAAGGATATGGAGAATCTGAGGGAATTCATCCAGAACATTTACTAACCAACAAAATAACCCCTCTATGCTTCTGTTTCCTAAAAGGGAGAGAATCTCTTCTTTTTTGAGGGTGAATTCTTCACAGGATGCTTATCTAACTAGCATCCTTGCTTTTTAGATTGATATGGTATCTCTTCAGTAATATTTTCAAAGAAAATAAAAATTTCCCCAAGTATAACCTCTCATTATTAGTGGTTTCCTACCTTTTAATTATTATGGTTCACTCTCAGAAACAGTATTCTAGTTTTTTATTTGTTTTTTGCTATACAAGGTGCCATATAGGTAACTAATACATTGAGTCACGGGAAGGTCCCATACCAGGATTAAATATTCCAGCCTAATTATCAGAAAGAACATTCCATTCTACTCCCCATGTAATTTTTCTTGCATGATCGGGCAGAGGGAGTGTTGTGTTCAATCTCACATAAGTCACCAGTTACTAAGCTGTTACAGGTTCCAATGAAAAATCATAGAATAGGAAGTATTTCTGAGAATCTGTATTTCTGAAGCACAAGTTTCAGCTTCTCACTCAGAAGCTGTTTTCCATAACCAGAAATACTTAAGACCTTTGGTTTAATCTCTAATACATATGATGTATGGGAAATGCCATAGAGAAAGTTGTAAACAACTATCTTGTTTCTTACAGGAGGCACTTTCAACTTTCTAAACCATCAGAGACTCTGAAGGTGCCTGACCAACATTAATTACTAATGATTCATCAGGAGGTAGGGTCTGAGGACAAGGATGGGAATGGAATGGTTAGTTTGCCCAGTTGGCACAAGGACCTCAAATTTATTTTGTCTCCAAGCTATTTTCATAATATACTATGAAATGGCATCTACTTAAAAAAAAAAGTATAGTAAAAGTAATGAAAAAGGAAC